CTCCAGTTTCAGGGGATCCGACAGCCTCTTCTGTCCTCCATGGGCACTGCATGACACGGGTGCACTTCCTACATGCAGGCAATACACGTATACACATAAAATAAAAATAATAAATAAAATATTTTTTAAAATATTAGATACATGCCAAACTTGGTATGTTCTACTTTAATCCTAGAACTCAGAAGGCAGAGGCAAGCATCAAACTCTGTGAGTTCAAGCCCAGCCTAGTTTTCATAGTGAGTTCCAGGCTAGCCACAGCTGCATAGTGAGACCCTGTCTCAAAAAACAAAAAAAAAGTGTGTGTATGTGTAAGGGAAGTTTAGGGAGTGACTATAAATTGTTCTTATATTTTTAGTTCCCTTTTAAAATTTGTCTATATTATAAACATTCTTCAATAAATACATTAATTTTTTGTTTGTTTGTTTACTGAGACAGGGTCTCCCTATGGACCTCATTATGTAGACCAGGCTGACCTCGATCTGCCTCCCAGATGCTGGGATTAAAGCCATGTGCCACCACACTGGGCTTATTACCCTAATTTTAAATGCACTAAAATACATTATTCACCTAATATAAATATAGCCAGGTCCATTCTGGGATTCATCAGATTAATTACTGAATATCCAGGGGGAGACAGTTTTCTCCAAACACTGGGAACTAAACTTAGCAGCTATTAAAATGTAACATTTCACAGATCAATGGGAAATAGAGCATCATGGCTATGCTTGATTGAATAGGGCAGTAGCAATTATTATGGAAAAGAATGCTTCATGGCTAGAAATCATAAACCATTACAGATTGGATGTTTTTAATTTGTTGTTTTTGTTTGTTTGAGATGTTTGTTTTGCTTTTATTTTGGAGGTAGGGTCTCACTATATAGCCCAGGCTGGTCTTGAACTTGGGACCCTCCTGCCTCAGCCTCCTGAGTGCTGGGATTATAAGCATGTGCCACCATGCTCAGCTGTACATACAGTTCTAGTGTAGAGGAGATCTGAATTGCTGGGGTGTAGTGTTTCCTTGTGGGCGGTCATCCCTTCTCCCTGATTGGCTGACATGATGTTTCCATACATTCTTCACCCAAAATTGAACTCTTCGTCATCTTACCATTTCTTTAATATTATACAAACCAACTAGGAGAAAATAGATAAAACACTATTAATTTAAACAGAGCTGCAGTACTTTTTAATGTTGTTACTGCAAAATTAATAGAACACTCTACTTGTACCCTCCAAACAGAAATGGCCTGGAGAGTGGCTCAGCAGTTAAGCATCTATGCTGCTCTTGCAGAGGACCCAAGTTCAGATCCCAGCACCCGTATCAGTGGCTCACAACCACCTGTAACTCTAGTTCCAAGAGTTCCAACACTTCTTGCCTTCTGAGTACCTGCACTCATGTGCACAGACACATATACACATAATTTTTTAAAAATAAAAATAAATCTTAAAAAAAAAAAAAAAGGGCTTGGAGAAATGGCCCAGCAGTTAATAGCACTAGCTGTTCTTGCAGAAGACCTGGGTTTGAATCCCAGCACCCACATGGCAGCTAACAATCATCTGTAACTCCAGTCCCAGGGGATCCAACACCCTCTTCTGACCTCCTAGGGCATTGCACG